GCAATTAGTATATTTGCGGATAAAAACATCGTTGATAAACTAATTCCAATAAATATGTGATTCATATTAATCGTTATTAACCGCAATTTTGTACTTAAAAATTATACGTTCAGCTTGGTGAATTTACTCTGGAAGGATTTGCTCTGTAGCAGACCTATGACATTTTTTTAAAATTTCCTTTTTTTCTTTTATTTATATACCTACTGAATGTTATTCAATAATAACCTAACTTTAAATTTGATTTAAAATAAAATAGAGAAATCAATATTGTCTATGAGGTGACCCTTAATTTAACCCATTGATTATTGCCAGATAATGTTCTGAAACCCTGCATTGCACGCGCACATGCCAAGGTGTTCCTAATAAGACATTAAACAACAAAATCCGTTCATCGGTTTAGAATAGTGATCTGCAAGTGGAAAGAAGAATATCTAAAATTGACAAATTTGTTTAATTGTAAACATTTTTTATTTATTTTTATTCATTTAAATTCATATTTTGTATCTTTTTGACAAGCTTTTTCAAATTGTTATTTTTAAATGGTTTCAATGCACATTTTTGCCTTTACAATGTATTTATCGATGTTTAGTATTCCTACCATCAATGCGTTTATTTGAAATGTATTTTATTACTTTCAATGATCTTATAATATAATTTCTGGAAATCATGTTTTGTCTGTATCATAATATTTTTTCCCAACTGTATATAGCATACACCTAATAATTTATATTCAGCGCTCTGTGTTGGTTTTTTACACACGAGCACACCAAGTTTTCCAACAACATGTTTTTTTGGGTCACAAAAAACCGCTTTAGGCTTACAGGTGGAATCAATCATTTTTCGTAGCAACTAAACGGCGTAACGCCATATTAAGATGTACAGGGTGATCAATTTAACGCCTAACACTCAATATTTCTTAAGAAAATTGCAATTTTGTAGTTTTCTTTTTTAAAATAGATGTTGTTTATGTTATCTACAACATTATGAAATTACTAAATATTTAACTTTTTTGGGATTATCCTAAGGTCTATCGACTTTTGACACTTAAACCCTAAATAGAATCAACTATGTCGTCAGAAAGATTAAATAGCTTAGCCATATTAAGAATAGAGTAATCTATAACCAAAACAATTATTAATTACGATGATATTAAATCATTTCCTTCAAATCATTTTCGCAGAAAATAGTAGAAAAACTCAGAAAGAAGCTAATATTTTTTTAAAGTTTTAAATTTTTGAATACTTTTATGTTAATATTATTAAGTTTTTTCTGAATTGTTATAAATAATATTATATTGGCTATGTCTGAGTTATCTAAATATTAATATATGTATAAACTAAGAATATATATATATATATATATATATAGAAACTAAGAAGTCCTGCCTGATTCATAAACAACGCACAGTCTAAACTATAATAGCTATAGACGGGAAATGTTCAGGGTATGTTTGTATTATAGTCTTGGAGTGCAATAAGAAAGGATTCTGATTTCTGAATTATTTTTATTTTAAGGGGTTGAAATGAGCAAAAAATAAAATTTAAGTACCTAGCTGAATGTATTTTATATTTATGTAACTATGTACCTACTAGTTAAAAATTCAATTTATAAAATAATATATTTAGAGTGGTTTAAATCTCTCTAAGTATTTGTTCACATCTAAATGTTATTTTTAAATGTTCATTTTTTTATTTTTAATGAACTTCTCCAAAAAACTGCTGTAATCCGCATTTCTGAATTAAATACTAGCTACGCCTGTTATATTTTATAAAGTGTGTTTTGATCTTCATCAAACCCTCTAGGCCTAGGTATCAGTTACTATTTAAGAATACTAAAATAATACTTCTTTAACCAACCACTTAATACTGTGCTGGTTACTAAAATAACGAAAAAATATTATTTATATCGTGAAAATTTAAAATTAAATTTTTAATGTTTGTAAGCAAGCGATAGAAACATCTCCATTTCCATCGGCCCATTAAAATCTTAACTAAATTGAATTAACTAAAAAACTAAAACTGAACAAATCTTTTTAAAATTAATAATTTTTTTATTTTTGATAAAATATTTACTATACGTAAATTAGTTAGCTATTTATAAGAAAAAAAAGAATGCAAAACAGTCAATAAATAACATGAATAAGGAATCTCAAAGTTGAGACACCAAATAAGATAAAAAAACATTAATATTAGTAGTTCTTGAGCCAGTTCTGGGCCAGTTTCTTTTAAGTCGTCTTAGAGGCCGGAATGGAGTTAAACAATTTGATCATACCAAAAGGCCCTTTGCGATTATTTAGAGGCATATTAATTGTTTTGGTGTTTGAAGGTTTTGCTGATCACCAGATAATAATACCAATAGTTTATATTGGGTTCAAAAGGGTAGTGTAAAGGAGCTTGTTTTTTATTGGTATTTTTTAGTTTAGAAGAGGTCGAAGCATATCTAGTCTATAGTTGAGTGCTTTGCGTTGTTCTTTTAAATGTGGTGACCAGGTTAGGAGCTCGTTCAATATTAAGCCTAAATATTTTATTTGAGAGCATCGGGGAATGGGAGTTTCATTTAAAGACACAGTGTGACGCGAGCTGATTTTGTTTCGTTTAGTATTATTTTACAACTTTTAGCCAGGTTACTAGTGAGTCCAGGTATATATGTATATTATATTGTATATGTAGTGAGAGAGCGAGAGTTGTGGAAAAACATATTGTGGCTGGCCACAACCACATTGGTATTGGGTTGGCTTAAATAAGATTTATGTAAGAACAATTCAGAGTACGAAAATTAATCCTACATATTTTAATTTGAAAAGTACTTTGATTTCATATTGTTTTTCAACATGCTATCGTGAGCTAAATTCCAAGTTTGTAAAATTGTTATTGTGGTTGTGTATTGATTTAAAAATGTGTTTTTGTGTGGGCTATTACTCATATGTTATTCACTTCGATACGAATCCGACTATTCAGTCGCCATATTGCGATAAAAAATATGTACCTACCCACTTTTATAAAATAAAAATAATAAATATGTTATTTGTATAATTTTATGAGGGTTTTAATATTTACCGACTTTTTGTTCAATCTAAATATGCCGACTGACTTGAGTTTAACGAGTGGGGGGGTGTCAACCCACCCCCCCCCCTCCTAACTCCAGCCCTGCAGAGAGCAGTCAAGTCACCTAAATAAGATAGGTTCTCCAAGATATAAAATTGATTACTCGCACTCTCCTTAATTTAAAAACTGTGTAGCTTGTTAACTACTGAACCAATTTAGCTAGTTTTTACGCCTAAATTAAATTTAAAAAAAATAAACACGATCATCAAAAAAAAATTGGGGGTTACCATTTAAAATCCAAAGTTGATATAGTTTTAACGCATAAGGGATGGTGTTAAAATTTTAAAAAATATATAACATTTGTCCCAACTAATAATTACTATAAAAGTATAAAAAAAAAAAATATATCATCTAAGATATTGAGTGGTCCATAGTTAACCAATCAACCGGTACAACAAATAATTACATTTTCTCTTATGATGAAACCACTTATTTAACAACATAAAGACAAATCGTCATTAAAAAAAAAGACCTTGATTTGATAATTTAATTTAGTTTTGTTATAAAAAGGAAAATACATAGAATATAAAGAATATATAATAATCAAATATTGTGAGTAAAAATATTTAATTTATTATTATATAAAATATTATGTTATAAATATTTACTAACATTATTAAGTTTTTAGTGGTCATCATCGAATGAGGAAGGGCAGGAGAGGGTTGCTTAAACTGAGAGTGAAAAAGAGTAGTACAAAATAAAAATTAGACGTCAGAGATCATATAATATAATATAATAATATAGTAAGGTAATATTTAAATTGGCTACAGACACCCTGGAACAACAAAGTAGGTAGGTACCTAATGTAATATAAATATTGCTGAGAGGAATTCGACAGAGTTTGTGAAATAGAAATCACATTTCGGCGGGTAGGTTAGGTTAGGGCTGTGGGAAAAATTGACCTCGAAGGACAGCCGCCAGTCGAATTCCAAACCTTTTCTACAAGGAATCTTATTTGTCAACCGTTTATTTGGGTTGAGTATTCCAATTTCTGTTGAATCGTAGTACCCCCCCACCAATGCAGTTGGTATCCTAGTGGCCGGCAACAAGTGGCTGGTAGTCACGAGGATAAGGACATATGGGACGTGTCACTCGCCGGTCGCGTAGCAAACGTTAGTTTTTTTTTTACATTTACATGCGATTGTTCTATTATAATATATCAAACCGTATAAAACTAACGGGCACATTTTTTGTTCAGTTAATTTTTTTGTACACGCTTCATCAAGAAACACACAACGTTTAAATTTTCGACGTACGGTTACATTGCCGTTGCTTATAATTTCAAGTAAGATTTTGTCGTTTTTCATTTATACCGTTTTGGATAGGTTTGTTTTAGATGTAATTAATAATTTAAGGTTACACGTTAATGTACTACACAGTCCACTTTGATAAAAAATCTTTTATAGTTTATACAAAATTACATAAAAATATAATGCATAAAAATCACCGCTATGAAACGCGATTAATCAGATCACCGAAATAACGTCAAATGACGTAGGACCACCGACCAGCATATTGTATCAAATGTGGACACCCAAAAAGAATAACATTATAAGCAAACTATAATCAAGTTGATGAATGCCTAAACCGTCAGCCACTTAAGTAATGCAAAAGTAATTTTTATTTGTAATTATAATATTATATTATACTAATTTTACAAGTCGGTGAAAGTTGTTTCCATACCGAATAAAGACAAAGGTAAACGCATTATTACGCGTGATAGGATGTAGATGATGGTAAATTTACAATAACCTTTGAAACTGGAGTTGGAAATTTGATATGTTATTCTCATAAAAGGCGCGACAGTTTACCTCCATGCTGCGGTGTACCTCCACCTGTGCCAATCACTCGTTATCACACATACATACACTATCACAAATCTGTCTAGACAATTTTTGTGTGTTGTAAATAAAAGTTTTGTTTTTGTTAAGAATTGAGATTTCATTTTTACTCTCTCTCCTTTCTGTGAATTATAACTAGTCAAATTAGATTTAGCGACATAGTAACAGTTTGTTTTCATTGTTGTTGCTACGGATCCGATTCGTGAAAATATCTAGATTTCAATCATAATAACCTAGTCGAATTCTATGATAAATACCTAACGTATTACGTCGTGTTTCGTTATTGAGTTACAATTAAGGTTTGTCTTGCCTGTAATTCATTTATTATACATTTTAAGTAGCAGCCCTGAACAGCGGCTTACGGTTCTACGTTGTGTGAGTACCTACCGTTTTGTATATCTAATTTATTTACATTATTGCCGTGTTTTCTGTCTTTCATTGACTTGGAATACTGCTTGGGAATAAATAGAATGATAATCTATATGTGTTTGTTTATTACTTATTATTTACTCGGAGTTGAATCGAGTGATACGAGATTAACGACAATTTAAATGAACCTATTCGGTCAAATGGGCTATCGTCTAGCTTTAATCTTTATTGTCATAGCTTCTTACCTACAAGTCATAATTGTAGCTTTGCGTCATTCGTCTAATTTAAAAAAATTAAAATTTAGTTTTTAATATTTAAAAAATACCTACAAAATATACCACTCAAAACTTTGTTGGTTTTTTATTTTTCAAATTAAGTAAAATAAATTTTTCTTTATTATATCATTATTATTACTAAATAAAATAGTTAAAATTATGTAATTAAATAGTACTATTAATTCTCTTTGCGTGTATGGCACAGAAATACAACTAATACCAAACGTTAATTTTAGAGTTTGGAAACGTATAATATGTTGAAAATTAAACAAGAAAATGATGACACAGAAGAACACTCCTATGAAGGATCGTTTGAAGTCATTGAAACTAAACCGTTAGATGTGCAGTTCAAAAACAATGAAATTTCTACAGCTGAGGAGTATTTAGTAAAGAATGAAGTCGACAATACTTATGAGTAAGACGATTTTATTACCTTTTTTTTACTAAATAAAATATTTAGGTTTTTGTAATGTTGTCGTCCTTCGTAATTAAAAAGAAAATTAATTAGTGATGTCCTAATTTATTTTCAAAATACCTAGTAATAATAATATTGTTTAAACAATTATTTTTGACGTTATAAGAAGTAAAGCGAAGTATGAACTTTCCTTGAGTAACTTGATCCACTTATCTTTAACTTCTTCTATACTTAGTTTGTTTTTGAGCTATTATAAATTATTAGGGATTATATTATATAAAACATTAGACTTTATTTAAAACTTGTTATTGATCAGTCAAATTTTTCAGTAAAATATATATATTATTTTTAAATAATTATCTGGTAAATATTATTTTAAAAGTTACACATATAACACATAAGTGATTTATATATTTATCTCTATAAAAATGAAACTGTTTATGTTATATCAGTGAATTATAAAGAAATACAAAATTTAGTGTATTTAAAAAAAAATATATTTGTATATTTTTACTCCTCTTTTAGCTAATAGACCTTCTATGCTTACACAACAGACAAGTTTATTGATATTTTTATTACAGATAAAAGTCTGAACATACAAGGAAAAAAATAATTTAGGCTTTGTTAATTACTGAGTTGATGAGCATTATAATGTATCCAACAATTAGCACGAAACTGACAAATTAGTGAATGAAACACAGTTAAAACCAAAATATATTTAGTTCAGCTGTTGGAAACTGATCATGTGCATCAAAGTACTTTTTTAATATAAAAAAAAACCAATTACTTATTTAGTTATTAAATTATAAAATCTCATGTATCCTAAAAGATAGGTACTAAGCTTCGTACACCGGAGTCGATTTGAGTCTGGTGATACGGGATCAACGCCATATTAAATTAATCTAGTCGGCATAATGGTCTATCGTTTAGCTTTAATCTTTATCGTCTTAACTCCCTATCAACAAGTCATACTTGTCGTTTTGTGTTATTCATCTAATTAAAGTAATTTAAAATTTAGTTTGAAATGTTTAAAAGATACAAAATATACTACTGAAAACTTGGTTGCTTTTTCTTTATCAAATAATGAAAACTAAATTATTCTTAAGTTTTTTTTATAATATTTTAGATTTGGCAATTTAGTTCATTAGTTGTATTGTTTATTATATCATTATTATCACAATTTTTTGTTACAATATGAAATATTTAAAATGGCACAAAAATATAACTTAGTTAAATGTTAATTATAGAGTTTTGAAGCGGTATATTATGTTGAAAATTAAACAAGAAAAAGATGAAACAGATGAACACTCTTTTGAAAAATCGTTTGCAGTCATTGCACCTTAACCGTTAGATGTGCAGTTCACAAGGAATGAAATGTCTACAACAGAGGAGTATTTAGTAAAGAATGAAGTCGACAATACTTATGAGTAAGGCGATTTTAATTACTTTTTTTTTAATCCTAAATAAAATAATTAAACTTATGTAATTATGTCCTTTTCCTCTATAAACCCGTAGTTGATATCATTGTTAGTGTTCCGCTAACATTAAACTTATATTAGGGACCGCACTGGTTCATATAATAACAGGTTATTTTAAAACTACATCTTCATTCTTTCCCTTATCAATTTAATGTTTAATCATACCAAATTGTAAACATATACTTGTGGGTATGATGACCGATCAATGTCTGCAGTACCGCTCTATGTGAGCGTAAGTTCGCACGAGACTTACCTTGTTGTAAATATAAATATATAGAAAACATTCATACATTTTTTAAATTCTTTTATAAAATGGACTAAAAATACAAAAAGTGTCATTTTTTTGTTATAAAAACTATATTTTAACAGTTAAAAGAAAAAATAATATATTTAATACTTGAGGCTGTTTGATTTTTATAAAATACATTTTTTTACCATCGGATATTTATTTTAGGTTATATAGAAAATATGAAATATACTATAAGTAATCTAACTTTTTTATTTTATTTAAAAATTGATTATTCTTCGACTTCTAGGTCCTTAGCCATAAACTAACTTTAATTGGATATAACTAGATAAACACTTCTACTTCATATCTCCAAGGTGTGTCTTTATCATCTATTAAATTATTCAATGAGGTGGTGTATCTTTAAAGATACATGCTATTATAAATACTATTCATTAAAAAAAAAAGTTTAGGGTTTAAAGAACTCGGTCATTAAAATGTCTCAAGGTACTTTTTAAAATGTAAAAGTGGACTTAAAACAGTAGAATTTTCAAGTTTCAAATCTTGTGGCATTCGGACGTTTATTATCAGTATTCTAAAAAATGTAAAGATTACATTATATATTGTTAGATAAGTTTAAGCAACACAATCTAATAAAAATTGAGTTAATTGTAGATTAGTGTAGTTCATCTAAAATGAATAAAATTAGTTTTAAAAACGATGCTTGTTTGATGTATTGTCCATTTAACGTTAGTAATATTGATATTTGCTGTAAAACATTAAAATATATTGATCTTGCATAAATACATTTTGTTTCATACGTGTTGCAGTATTCATTTTCCGTGTAAAGCGACAGTACCACAAATAATATAAGAAAAACCAATTCTGAGGAAAATATACACAAAATACGTCGGTTCGACTGCAATATATGTCATAGGAAGTATTCAACCAAAAGTCATATAACCCGGCATATTGAGAAGTCGCATTCCAGCACTTCGACGGGAAAGAAAGCGCCTCAAAAAATAAAGTCAATCATCGAAACAGCAGAATCAAAGGGTATACTCGAAACAAAGTAGACCTACTTAATTGTGGTGTTTGTCTAAAAACATTTTCATCAAAATCAAGCCTGAGAACACATTGGCGTATTCATACGGACGAAAAGCCCTTTAAATGCGATGTCTGTGCAAAACATTTGGTGATCGGTCTACCCATAAATCTCATAAAAGGAGGCATACCGGCGAGAAACCATTTAAATGCGGTGTCTGTGAAAAAACATTCAGACTACAAAATAATCTCAAAACTCATGAAAGGACACATACTGGCGAAAAACCCTATAAATGCGATATCTGTGAAAAAAATTCAATCAACAATGTTATCTTAAGAAACATTCACACATACATACCTAATCTAACCAGATTTAATATCTTATAATTTTTTTGTAAGATTATATAATTTATATAGTTTTTATATTTATATTATTTAATTTTTTTATTCCATAATTTACACATGAAAAATAGTTGATAATATGGTTTTCATTGTTATTTTGTTTAAATATTACAATAGTCCTTTATAATTACTGTTGCAATTTTAAAGAAAAAAAGTTATTAAGGTATGTAAGTTTATATTTTTTAATTTCAAATTTGTACTTGGTTATATCCAATTAATCATAGTTATAAAAATTACGTTTTATATTATGTGGTAATAGTTTTTTTTTATAATTACTGTTTGTTTCAAAGAGAAACTATGTATAGTATACGAGTATTAATATTTAATTTAAAATATTTATTAATTTTGTCCGACTAATCATATTTATGGAAAGTGGAAACTATTTTTATATTTTTATTTTATTTTTTCATCTGTATGAATATTTTTTTGATTAATTTTGCCACTTTTATATTAATTACACGTTAAATAATAAGCATGTTATTATATTGTTTCTATTATTTATTAAAATACTAAATAGTTAAATATGTTTTTGCTTGGTTTAAAACAATAAAGTATTTTCACAATATTTCCAAAATATTCATTATAAATAACGTTATTATCTATATCCAATTTACTTTATTCAAAATATCAACGACATAATAACACGACAATCAAGAAAACAAATGGCTATTGGTTAACACCTCACTATCAAAAAAAAATATATTTGTATGAGAATAATTTTAATGATAATACTCTTAAGTCTGAAGTCATAAGTTATTTACTTAAATTTTTTTTTGATTGTCACAGTCATTTTATAGACAGACTATCGTCTATCAACCCCAATCGTATCCATCCTAACACTAAAATGTAAGTTATAAGCACATAATTGTCATTAGTTACATTGCTTTTATCGATATTTATATTTTTATATGTGAATACTGGACCTCGTCCCTATTTTATTTACTTACTTCTACTACTACATAGTACGTTTTTTTACTATTTTCATTGAAATTATTGAATTTATTTTTAATAATGTCTGATGATTTATTTGAACACTTTTTTTCTGTACCTACAATTTAAAAATTTTAGGATTTTTTTAGTAATTTTTAATAAAATTTTAAATAATAGTGCATTGATTAATAAAAAATGTATAAATCTTTAGCACAGAAAAACTTTCTGGTATCAACAATGAAAATTTGATTATTTTACAACAATTCTAAGACACTTGGATTTTTATTTGCGTAAAATTTGTAAGACGTGAACAAAATTAAATTTTTCTATAAAAACGACTATTGTTTTCTGTCAAAAAAACACCGACTCCTCATTGTTGTACCTATTAATAAAGTTATACACTATAGTTAGAATGCATTGCGAAAAATGTCCTACCGGAGTTGGGAATTTGATCTGTTTGTTTCCAAAATGGCGCGTTAGTTTACCTCCATCTGTGGAAATCACTCGTTATCACACAAACACACACACTATCACAAATCTGTTATCTGTCTAGAATATTAATTTAGCGTTGTCGTGCAATTTGCATTAAAATCAATATTATTATTGAATGCCATTTTTGTTGTTAAAACCTAGTTGCGATTTCTTTTTGCACTCTTCATTCTGTAAATTATAACTAGTTAAATTAGATTTAGCGCCATAGTAACAATTTGTTTTCATTATTGTTACTACGGGTACTATTCGTGAAAAATCTCTAGATTTCAATCATAATAACTTAGTCGAATTCTATGATAAATACCTAACGTATTGCGACGTGTTTAGTTTTTGAGTTACAATTGAGTATTGTCTTGCCTGTAATTCATTTATTATACATTTTAAGTAGCAGCCCTGGACAGCAGTTTACGGTTCTACGTTGTGTAAGTACCCACTGTTTTGTACTTCTAACTTATTTACATTATTGCTGTGTTTTCTGTCTTTCATTGACTTAGAATACTGCTTGGGAATAAACAGAATCATAATTTATAGTTTATTTATTAATTATTATTTACTCGGAGTTGAATCGAGTGATACGAGACTTTTAAATTATCTAATCGACAAAATGGTCTAGCTTTAATCTTTATCGTTTTATCTTCTTACCAACAAGTCATACTTGTAGTCTTGTATTATTTATCTAATTTAAGTAAATTACAATTTTGTTTTAAATGTTAAAAAAAACAAAATATACTACTCAAAACTTTGTCGGTTTTTTATTATTCAAATAATGTAATTAGTTTCATGCATAGCATATTAATCACTGTGACCATTAAACGACGATGTCAAACAATTTCATCTGCTTATTTATTATTTTTAAATATCAAACATGATTTTTTTTCCCTCAAAAAGCATTTGAGATACACTTATTTAAAATTAGGCTACTTAATGTGTTAGATTATAAACTTTTTATTTTCCCTTGTCTTTTTAATAAAAAATAATTTGTATTTTGTATCTTATATGTGTTTTAGATAAGCTAGTTTTACAATTAGTTAACAATCAAACACAGAAAAGCTACATTTATAATCTATATTGTAATACAAGCAAAACAATTATGGAAGTTATTATGCACGAACACTTTGAAAAAATTTACCAATTCTATGAGTAAGTATGAGTGTAATTGTACTAGTATTATTTATTACCAATTAATGTTTGTATTTTTATTGTGCCTTTTTAAATAATATAGCAGAGTACATTCCAGGGGTGTACCATACTTTTCGTGAGCCACTCAATATCTCTTAGAGATTAATATGAAATTTAATTAAAATTTTTTTATTGTTTATAATTGGGGATGGACCAATACTCAATGTTCCGATATATGTTGCCGATAAAAAACTGATTCCCAATATATTTAAAAATTAAAAATCTTTTGCAATATCAACCGATATCAAAACAAAACCGATTTCCGACAAAACTAATATTTCATATAACCTACCACTGATTATTATGGTCTTAATATCGGTTTCCAAAAAAAACCGGTACCAATAAAACCGATACAAGTAATTTCGACTAGGTTCCGGTTCTAGTATAGGCCTACCCCTAGTTTTTATACAATATGATCAAAATATTTTTAATTATTTTTGTTTTTACCTACCTCCCGACCTAGTTTTTTTTTTTAGCTCCTTTCTAAATTTAAATAGTAACGCATACATTTCATTAACTTTTTTAATTGAGAATAATGTACTAAACATTTTGACTGGTCGATAACCAGTTTCGGATAACTATTTTTCAAGTTATAAGAGTTTAGAAGTTAGGATGGGAGGGGTAATGAGGTTAGGAAATGCTCGCAGATAAAATTAATACTTCACCCACCTTTCCT